AGTCCAGAGAACCCTGGGTGTCAACAGGATGTACAGGATTGAATAAGTGAAAAAAGAAAGAAAGGTTTTGGTTGATACCAAAGGCTCAAAACTGCAGAGGAGTATAAAAAGTGCAAAGGTTTGCTTAAAAAAGAAATTAGGAAAGCAAAGAGGCGACATGTAAAACATTTGGAGGTAACACAATGGAAAATCCAAAGGTCTTTCATAAGTACATTAGGAGCAAGATGCTAACCAGGGAAAAAGTTGGAATGAAAGTAACAATCTGTGCATGGAGCTGAAGATATAGCTGAAATTTTAAATGCATACTTTGCATCTGTATTCACGATAGAGAAGGATGATGTAGGTATATAAATCAGTGAGGGGCCTGTGATATACTTGAATTATTTAGCATTCAGAGAGAGGGAGTATTAGCAGATTTAGTAGGCTTGAAAGTGAATAAATCCCCAGGTCCAGAGGAGATGCATCAAAGGCTGCTGTGAGAAACAAGGGAGGATAATATACAGGCTCTGAGATTAAATTTTAATCCTCTCTGATCATTGGAGTGGAGTGGCTTGAGAACAGTTAATATGGTACCATTACTCAAGAAGAGTGGTAGGGGTAAGCCAGGAATCCACAGAGTTTAACATCTGTGGCAGGAGAAGATACTGGAAAAATTTCTGAGGGACAGAATTAATCTGCACTTGGAGAGGCAAGGATTAGACATGAATGTGGGAGGTATGATCAGTAAGTTCACAGGTGATATGAAAATTGGCATTGCGAATAGGAGGAGGAAAGCCTTAGAGTCCAGGATGATATAAATGGCTGGTTAGATGGACCAAACAATGGCAAATGGAACTTAATCCTGAAAAGTCAGAGGAAATGCATTTTGGCAGGATTAAGAAAACAAGAGAGTACATGTCAAACGGGACCTATAGGACCCTCGGAATTACAAAGGATTGGAGGAACCTTAGTGCGCATATTCACATATCCTTGAGCGCAGCAGGACAGGTTGATTAGGTGGTTAAAAAGGCATATGGGATGTTGGTTTTTTTTAATTAAGGCATTGAATATGAGAGCAAGGAGTTTATGATGGAGCTGTATATAATATTATTTAGGCTAATAGCTGGAGTACTGTGTACAATTCTGGTCACCATACTATAGGAAGAATGAGATTGTACTAGACAAGGTGCAGAAAACATTCATAGGGATGTTGCCTGGGCTGAAGAGTTTCAGCTATGAAAAGAGACCAGCCTGGCTGGGGTTGCTTTCCTTCCAGTGGCTAAGGCTAAGGCAGGATCTGACGGAGGTGTACAAAGTTATGAAGTGCATAGATAGGGGAGAGAGGAAGAAACTTCCTTTAGGAGAAGGGTCAATAAACAATGGGGCACAATTTTTAAAGTAAGGAGCAAGAGGTTTAGAGGGGATTTAAGGATTTTTTTTCACCCAGAGGATAGTGGGAATCTAGAACTCACTGCCTAAAAGGGTGGTAGAGGCCAGGATCCTCAAGACATTTTAGAAGCATTTACATTAACACTTGAAATGGCATAGCATATAAGGGTATGGTCCAAATGCTGGAAAATGGGGTTAGAATAGATGAAAGTTTGATAACTGGTTTGGACATGATGGGCCGAAGTACCTTTTCCTTACTGTAGTAACTCTATGACTCTAAAGGTACAAACTTTCTGGTTAAAGTGGCAGGAAGGAAATTACATATTCAATATTACCATCTTCGGGAGCTGCCCTCAAATGTTATTTTGGAGCAACAGTAGGATCTCGACATGGAGAGGGCCTTAATATAATGACTCAATAAAAATGTTAATATTATATTGTTTCTAATTCTTAACTGTTTAACAATGGTTTCAAAATAATACTCCATGTGATACAATACTGGAGGAGTCATAAAGTAATGAGATGCAAGGAATGAAATATGATGTGATAAATGCAATTCAGCGAATTTCAAACAGTCTCGTACTCACCTGACAACACTGTGGAGCTGGAGGAATACAACAGGACAGGCGGCATCAGAGGGGCAGGAAAGTTGATGTTTTGGGTTGGGACCCTTCTTCAGAATCCTGTCCCTCTGATGCTGCCTGACCTGCTGTGTTCCTTCAGCTCCACACTGTTGTCTCTCACTCCAGCATCGGCAGTTCTTGCTATCTCTTATTCACCTGATATACATTCGGAGGGACTTCCTCCTCAGCGTATCCTTTTGAAGTTATTTAAGCTTTAATTTGTTGTTGTTGATCAGAGATAGAAACCAATGGGAGAGAATTCTATTAGAGGGGAGATGTTAGCAGAAGGGCAATGTCACTGAGGTAGCACTTAGAACATGCCAGTTTATTACCCTTAAATTGTGGGTTCAAGCACAACCCTAACAGTTGATTGCTTGGGGAGACAGTGGTAAAATAACCAGGCTGATAATCCTAGTTTCAGTTATGGTGACTGTGGAACTAATATCAATTGTCATTAAAAACTCATCTGATACATTGATGTCCTTTTGGTAAAGAAGTCTGCTGTCCTTAACTGGCCTACATGGGATTGCAGACCCTTCTAAGAGGGTCCACCTGACGAAGCAGCAGCACTGCAAAAGCTTGTGATTTCAAATAAACCTGTTGGACTATAACCTGGTGTTGTGTGACTTCTGACCTACTATAATTGCAATACTTGGAAGTTTTAGACAGTCACCATCCACTGGATAACAAGGTGCAAGGCTGGACGAACACAGCAGGCCAAGCAGCATCACAGGAGCAGAGAGGCTGACGTTTCGGGCCTAGACCCTTCATCAGAAAAGGGGGAGGGGAAGGGGGTTTTGAAATAAATAGGGAGAGAGTGGGAGGCGGATAGAAGAGGGATGGAGGAGAGGATAGGTGGAGAAGAAACAAACAGGTCGAAGAGGCGGGGATGGGGCCAGGAAAGGTGAGTGTAGGTAGGGAGTTAGGAAGGGGATAGGTCAGTCCAGGGAGGACGGACAGGTCAAGGGGGCGGGATGAGGTTGGTCGGTAGGAGATGGAGGTGCGGCTTGAGGTGGGAGGAGGGGATAGGTGGGAGGAAGAACAGGTTAGGGAGGCAGGGATGAGCTGGACTGGTTTTGGGATGCGGTAGGGGGAGGGGAGATTTTGAAACTTGTGAAATCCACATTGATACCATTGGGCTGCAGGGTTCCCAAGCGGAATATGAGTTGCTGTTCCTGCAACCTTCGGGTGGCATCGTTGTGGCACTGCAGGAGGCCCAGGATGGACATGTCGTCTGAGGAATGGGAGGGGGAGTTGAAATGGTTCGCGACTGGGAGGTGCAGTTGTTTGTTGCGAACCGAGCGTAGGTGTTCTGCAAAGCGGTCCCCGAGTCTCCGCTTGGTTTCCCCGATGTAGAGGAAGCCACACCGGGTACAGCGGATGCAGTATACCACATTGGCAGATGTGCAGGTGAACATCTGCTTGATGTGGAAAGTCTTCTTGGGGCCTGGGATGGGGGTGAGGGAGGAGGTATGGGGGCAGGTGTAGCACTTCCTGCGGTTGCAGGGAAAAGTGCCGGGTGTGGTGGAGCTGGAGGGGAGTGTGGAGCGGACGAGGGAGTCACGGAGAGAGTTGTCCCTCCGGAAAGCAGATAAAGGTGGGGAGGGAAAGATGTCTTTGGTGGTGGGGTCGGATTGCAGATGGCGGAAGTGTCGGAGGATGATGCGTTGGATCCGGAGGTTGGTGGGGTGGTACGTGAGGACGAGGGGGATTCTTTTTTGGTTCTTATTGCGTGGACGGGGTGTGAGGGATGAGGTGCGGGAGATGTGGGAGACACGGTTGAGGGCGTTCTCGACCACTGAGGAGGGGAAGTTTGTAAGGTTTAGGGGGACCTCCTCCTGCAAAGCAAATGTTTTTGAAATGACTTCAGCTTTAATCTGTTTGGTCAAGATCATAAGTGCTCATCTAAACAAACCATTGGGAAGAGAATGCCTTGACGGTGAGATCACAGAGTGAATAGGAAAGATCAGGGGAATGGTATTAATTCTGTATCTCTTCAGGAATGGCACAGGTTCAATGGACTAGTTACCTTCCCTGTGTGGCTCATCAAACTATGAGAGGATTGAGAGAAGAATCGGTAGAAGTACTGAAGATACTATGGGGTCCAGACAGATAAGGAGGTTGTTATCCCATTGATAAAAAGTTTAGGAAGCAGAGGACACAGATTTTAGGTAATTGTCAAAGGGAGCAATGGCGGCATGAGGCAAACCTTTTTCACACAGCAAGTGGCTATGATCTATAGTGGAGGCAGATTCACCTGCGGCATTCAGGAGCAAATGGGATTACTGTCTGAGAACGAAGAATATACAGAGTTACAGAAAGAAGGAGGGATGGTGGCACTGGTCAATTGGCCAATCAGAAAGCCAGCACCAATTTGAATGGTTGAATAGCCTCTTTCTGCGTTGTCACCATTCCAATCATTCTACATAGGGATCCAGGAGAATGACTTACAAAATGTAGAGCAGTGGGTTTGCAGTCAAATCTAACTCTAAGGCAAGGATAGTCACAGAGGGCTCTTGTGGCACAGGGGTAGTGTTCCCCCTTCTAGAACAGGAGGCCTGGTTTCAAGTCCTACCGGCTCCACTGGTGTGTTTTAATATTGCTGAACAGGTTGAGATTTTATTTTAAAATAACCAGAGAGGAAATAATGACAGATCTTCAAAGTAAGAAGCATTTGTCTGGCAGCAATAAACAAGTTGAGCTGGATGGGTCTAGTGACACAGTGGTAAGTGTCCATACCTCTGGACTAGAATGTTTAGATTCAAGTGCTATCTGCCCTGGAGGTGTATCATAACATGCCTGAACATTTGATTTTTTTAAAAAATATATAATAAGTCGAATTGGTGTGCGCTGTGGAAAACCAGGATAGATGAACCTATTCCGAAAGAAGCCACCAGAAGGCACTACTTCAAGGACAATTTCAGGGCTTTCCATTTCAGGAGGTGGGGGAAGAATTATCGAAGTACAAAAGTTTGAAAAATAAACTTGGAAAAGATAAAGGATTTCAAGAGATTATTGGCATTGGGCTGGGAGCTGAAGGTGGAATCAGAATTGACACTGCGTCACTTTGAACTTGGACCAACACTGAATCTCTCTCTGTCTCACTCACACACACACACTCACACATTCTCTCTCACTCTCTCTCTCTCCCACACTCACTCTGGCAACATCGCAACTTTAACCTGCACAAGAGCAGCGAAGCTCATGTCATAACTGAGACTGAGAGGTTGGAGTTATTGCAAAACGGACAGGAGCTGGGTTTTTTTTTGGGAGGATAGACGCAGCAGGAGGAAGAGGGGGAACTATAAGTGAGACTAAAATCCTGTGCTCCCAGCAGTTTTACAATGGGAAGCTGGCTCAAGGACTGCGGGACAGTACACGCCTTTGCAACAGCGGGAAAGTAGAGAGGGGTAAGTCACTTTCACAATGCTGCTGGGAACGGAGGGAAAACGGAGATTCTTACACTCTATTTTTTCTGCTCCAGGAAAGAAGCTGGTCGCTTATTTCTTTGTACATCTTCCTCTTTACACCTGGGAGATTCACCCTTCATTTTTCAGACTGCAGGTTGCATGTAGCAGTTTACAAAGTTTCACTTAGAAGAGTAAGTTTCTCTCGCGTTGTCGAAATCGTTCACTTTTCTCTAAAATGGTTTAGTTTTGCACTTGTCCAACTATAGATCACGTTAAATTTGATACCGCGACCTGGTTTTCTGCCGAAGTCAGTATTCTCAAATTTCACAATACTTGTCCGAATATTTATTGTAGAGGCTACCAGGGGAGATCGTGTTCCGTTGTTTTTTTTCTTCGGCAGATTAGCAATTTTTTGTTTCTTTTTTTAAAAAAAATCTTATCTGGAACATTGAAGGGATGATTCTAATTAAGCTAACGCCAGAACAAATGTAGCCCTTTTCTCGTAAATGTCTAAGTCTGGAGGCTGTGATCCAGTTCGTAATGGGATATGGATTGCAGTAATTGTGTAGATTATCCACGTTAATTTTCTGTCTGCATTTCAAGGTTTCGCCAGAGTACAGTAAACAGCTATTTTAAAAAAAACAGAATGTCCTCTTCTGTGTAAGTTAGATAGAATTGTTTGATCAAAAAGTAGGCTTAAAACTGTAACTTTGCTTATGTTATAAACCCTTTATTGTAAGCAATTATGAAAGTAAGTTTTATTGATTATTGAACAAATCATTTGTTCTGCCTGCAAGGATGTTATGTTCAGAAATCATAGAATCCCTACAGTGTAGAAGCAGGCCATTCAGCCCATCAAGTCCACACCACCGGTCCGAAGAGCATCCCACCCAGACCACCCCATCCTACAATCCTGCATTTCCCATGGCCAATCCACTCAACCTGCACATCTTTGGACTGTGGGAGGAAACCGGAGAACCCGGAGGAAACCCACACAGACGCACGGAGAATGTGCAAACTCCCCACAGACTGGAATCGAACCTGGGTCCCTGATGCTGTGAGGTAGCGGTGCTAACTGCTGAGCTACTGCAAAGAAGTGTTTAAGTTTTGGGCGTGGTTGACTGTTTAATTGCCTCTGTAGTAGTTTCTCAAAACTTGCCAAAGTTTCAGGAGCTGGGTCCACAATCACCTTTTTGGGTAGTCAGACTTGCCCATGGCACTCGCATTCCAGGACCATGTTTTGATATAAACATATAGATAGTTGATGTGTAAGCTTTCTGCATTGGGAATTTTGAAACTGGGCCTTCTTTGATAGTCAGAGATAGTAAGAACTGCAGATACTGGAGTCAGAGATAACACAGTGTGGAGCTGGAGGAGCACAGCAGGCCAGGCAGCATCAGAGGAGCAGGAAAGTTGACATTTCAGTTCTGAAGAAGGGTTCTGACCCGAACCGTCAACTTTCTTTGATAGTCGCTTGATAGATGGGTCAGCCTTGGCTGATTGGGGTAACATTCTCCATTTGTGGTGAAGTGGTTGTGTGAGAGTTTGGGTTGTGTACGTAACAGTGGCTGGGACTTCCACTGTACTGTCCATTGCTTTGGGCCAGACCAGGTAAAGATAGCAGAATTCCTTTATAATAACTGTTGATATTTTCATGGCCATGATTACTGTAACTAGTTTCAACATCCAGATTTATTAATTGAATCTAAATTCTACCATTCACCGTAGTAAGATCTGGTTCAATGCTGACATCCTCTTGACTGCCTAATTAAAACAAAAATCTCTATATCTGTTTAGCTCATCATGCTTCTGACGCATAAACTGAAAAGAAAAGCAAATAGAGATCAAAACAACATGCATTCATAGACATGATTTCAGATCCCCGCCACTCCATTGTAGCTGGAGAATTTCAATTCACTTAATTAAATGAACCTGGTAGTAAGAGCCAGTGGGGGGGACGAAAGGGAGATTATCTGTGAAATATAAAATGATAGGAATACTGGGCAGGCAAGTCACTCTCTGCTGAGGTGAGGTCACTTAATCTTTCCCTACCCTATCCCTTGTGGAATGCATTGCCGGAGAGGGTATTGAAGTCGGCCTCATTAGGGGCATTTATGCGGCTATTAGATAGGCATATGGATGATAGTATAAGGTAGGGGTGGAGGTTAGATAGACTTTAGGATTAGGGTAAAAGTTCAGCACAACATCGTTGGCCGAAGGGCCTGTACTGTGCTGTATTGTTCTATGTTCTATGTTCCTGTATAACCTGTAATTGTCTTGAAAGGAGAGAGTTATAGTGTCATACAGCACAAAACAGACCTTTTGGCCCAGCTCGTCCATGCTGACCAGCTTTCCTAAACTAAACTAAGTTCCATTTGCTTGCATTTGGCCCGTAACCCTCTATACCTTTCCTATCCATGTACTTGTCCAAATGTCTTTTAAATGTTGTAATTGTACTCACCTCTATTGCTTCCTCGGGCAGCTTGTTCCATATAAGCACCACCCTCTGTGAAAACATTGCCTCTCAAGTATCTATTAAATCTTTCCCTCTCACCTTAAATCTATGTCTGCTAGTTTTGGATTCCCCTACCCTGAGGAAAGGACCTTGGCTATTCACCTTATCTATATCCCTCATGATTTTATAAACCTCTGTAAAATAACGCCTCAGCCTTCCATGCTCTTGGGAAAAGTCCCAGTGTGTCCAGCCTCTCCTTATAACTCAAACCCTCCAGTTTTGGTAACATCCTTGTATATCTTTTTTGCCCTCTTTCCAGTTTAATAACATTCTTCCTATATCAGGGCGACCTGATTTGTACACAGTACTCCAAATGTGCCCACATTAATGCATTGTACAGCTGTAACATGACGTCCCAACTCCTATGCTCAATGTTCTGACCAATGAAGGCCAACGTGCCAAATGCCTTCTTCACCACCCTGTCAAGTGACGGTGTACCTGCACCCCTAGGTTTCTCTGTTCAACAACATTCAACAACTGCTTTGTTGTACCAAAATGCAACACCTCCCATGTATCTAAATTAAATTCCATCTGCCATTCCTCATTCCACTGGCCCAGTTGATCAAAGTCTCATTGTACTCTTAAATGGATGGACCACTTCAGAGGACTTGACTGGAGTTGTACATGGACCAGAATTGATAGAATCGACAGTTTTCCTTCCTGTAAGGAGATTTGAGAGCACTCTGAGTTTTTGTGGCAGTCTGGCAGCTGGTGAGGTGGTTTAGTTCTGGTGGCAGGCCATACCTTCATATGTTTATGAAAATCATTTTCACAATTTGCTTTGGTGTATTTAGAACCTGTGACTTTTGGGTCACTGCTCCAAGATGGCAGACTGAGGAACAATGCATTGTCCACATTACCAGATCCTATTTTACTTTGGAAGCGAGAAAGATTGAAAAATTAATGTGATTTTCTTACACCTTTCAACTAGCAAGGCCTTGCCACTTTTTGGGTTTGTCATCACGAGTAAGTGCATTTGATGCTATTTTTGAGTAACTTTCGGTCTCCCTCTTGCTGCACATTCCACACATTTGAGCTTGACGAGATGTGTTAAACATGTTTTCTTCCATTTTCAGACAAGACCACTCCATACTTGACTACACATGACTCCAGCCCACAACGTGTTCTGAAAAGAGTGAGGGAGATGGAGTCCCGTGGAATGGAAAACCATCTTTGCCAGTCGGATGTGTAACTGCGAGCAGTGAGGGATGGATCAGGAAAGTGAGGTCGACTTGTCCAATCTTGCCATTACGCCACTATGGCGGAAGAGAAGGCCGATTCCCAAATCGCCCAATACAAGGTCTTTGAATCGTCGCAGCAGGGCGAGGCCATGTTCACATGAAATTGACGGTGTCCTGGTGACGGATTTCCCAGTGGACGGCAATGTTCCTACCCAAAATGGGAACATTGCTTCCCCTCCAGATGGCCGCCTCTTACTCCAGAGGCAGCCCTCCACCCATTCACTTCCAACGCCTGATAAGCAGCGCCTTGTGCTGAGCACCAACAGCGCTGTTTCGCTCAAGAACGGAACACAGCAGATCATTCCCAAGGACTTGGCATCGGCTATCAAAATCAAGAACCATCATCAGAACAATCAGAATCTGGAGTTTAATGCAAGGAGTCGTCGGGTGCAGAGCATGGTCGAAACGGTTAATGTCCCACTTGTACCGAAACTGGAGCTGGATGGAGACACAGACCCTGACCTGGAGAGCCCAGGCCAGCTTCGCCGAGGGCTGAGGTCCACTTCATATCGAAGAGCAGTGGTCAGTGGGGTTCATTTTGATAACTCGTCCAGTATAAAAAACAACAACCGCAGGTCTCAACCCAATCTGAAGACTGTCCTAGAGGATAAAGAGAAGTTCCCCAGTTTGTGCAGAGGAAAGGTGAGTGTTGGATCAAAGACCAATCTTCCCTTGGAGAACAACATTCAGAGTAAAGATATGGGAGACTGGGCCTTTTTGCTTCATTTAAGCAAGTTGTTGAGGCTTGTGTTTAGTTGTACATGAATAGGTTTCATTGAATTGTAAAAACTGAAATCAATGCATTGTTAACAACCAAAAGAACTGCAGGTGTTGTAACAAAAACAAAGTTGCTGGAAAAGCTCAGCAGGTCTGACAGCATCTGCGAAGGAAAAAACAGAGTTAACGTTTCGGGACCGGTGGCCCTTCCTCAGAACAGATATAAGTTCTGAGGAAGGGTCACCGGACCCGAAACATTAATTCTGTTTTTCCTTCACAGATGCTGCCAGACCTGCTGAGCTTTTCCAGCAACTTTGTTTTTGTTCCTGATTTACAGCATCCCCGGTTTTTTCGGTTTTTATGCAGATGTTGTAAATCAGAAATAAAAACAGAAATTGCTGCAAAGGCTCAGCAGGTCTGGCAGCATTGCTGAGCTTTTCTAGCAATTTCTATCAATGCATTTTTTTGTTAAGTAAGTCTCTCAAAGGGATTTTGGGCTAAGGCAGGTTGGTCAGTTTAAGAGACCAGGGCTTCCATCTGCTTTTCACTACGTTTAACCAATTAGCAATTATGATACTGAAATTGCTGTGATCTATGTGAATTACCGAACAGGCTCAAAAGCTGAATAATGTCATCCTGTTCTGTATCCACCCTCATTCAAGCATTAGGCAATTGTTTTTGTTTTAAAACCCTTTGATGGGATTTGGGCATCACTGGCCTATATTGTTATCCTTGAATTAAAGGACATTCATGAACGAAATCTGCTTTCAAAACCATCAATAAAATGTAAAGACCATAAGATGAACAGACCTAGGACATTCAGCCCATTAAGTCTGCTTCACCATTCAAGGAGATCATGGCTGATCTGATAATACCGAACTCCACTTTCCTCCCTTTTCTCTTTAACCCTTTATTTCACTGCTGACTAAATATCTGTCAGGCTTGAATAAACATAGTGGCATAGCCTCTACAGCTACAGCCCTCTGTGGTAATAAAGTAAGTGGGTGATTTGGCAGCACAAGTAAATATAACAGTTTTGGTATAAAAGCTGAAAGAACTGCCGTACATCAGAAACAAAAACAGAAATTGCTGGAATAGTTCAGCACATCCAGCAGCATCTGTGGACAGAAATCAGAGTTAACATTTTGTGTCGAGTGACTCTTCCTCAGAACTATTATGATGAAGTTGCAATGATGTTGCATGGTTGCAGGGTTACCACGGATGGGAACTGAACAGCTAGGGATATTCATTAAATAGGAAGGACAGAAAAAAAGGAGAAAGGAGGTATGGTGGTATTGTTAGTGAAGGAAGAAATCAATGCAATAGTGAGGAAGGATATTATAGTGAAAATCAGGATGTGAAAGCTGTGTAATGGGAGAGCAGAAACACCAAGGTGGTGGGAAACATTGTTGGGGGTTGTCTACAGGCCGCCAATGTGTAGTGGAGTTGCAGGAGAAAGCATTAAACAAGAAATCAGAGATGCATAACTGTAATCACTGGTGAATTGAATTTGCATTTAAATTGAACAAACCAAACTAGCAATGCTGTTGTGGAGGAAGATTTCCTGGAGCATGTATTTGGTGGTTTTGTTTAGACTGATACGTTGGGGAACCTACCAGAGAACCACTATTCTAGCCAAATGGCCTACTCCTAATCCTAGTTTCTGTGTTTCTATGTTAAGAATTCCACAGACTCACCACCTTCTGAGAGAAGAAATTCCTCCTCATCTATGTTCTAACTGGGTGGACCTCTTATTGTGAGATTATGCCCTCTGGTCTTAGACACTCCCACAAGAGGAAACAACCTCTCCACATTTACCCTGTCAGGCCCTATAAGGATCTTACATATTTCAATAAGTTCACCTCTATTCTTCTAAAGTCTGGTTAGTACAGGCCCATTCTTTTAAACCTCTCCTCACAGCGCAGTCCTTCCATACCTGAGATTATACTAGTGAAACTTCTCTCAACTTTCTTCAATGCCGTTACACCTTTCACTCGATAAGGGGCCAAAATCAGTTGACAGTGTTAAGTAGGCAATTAGTGCCTTGTGTAGTTTTAGCAAAACCTCCCAACTTTTATACTCCATTGCCTTTGAAATAAAGGCCCCAACATTCTATTTGCTTTCCCTGTTACCAACTGAATTTGTGTACTAGCATTTTGTAATTTATATAAAAAGTTCTCCAAATCCTTCTTTGCTGAAGCTTTCTGTAGTCCTTCTCCAGTTAATTAATATTCGGTTTCTTCCTGCCAAAATGTATAACATCACATTTTCCCACATTATATTCCATCTGCCAAGTTTCTCACTTAAACTGTCTATATCCATCTGCAGACGTTTTCTTCCCATCTATTTTGTGTTCTCTGCAAACTTGGCTATAATACATTCACTTCCATGATTCTACTCATTAATATATATTGTAAATAATTGTGACCCCAGCACTGATCCCAGTGACACTCCTGTAGCTACAAGTTCCATCCTGAAAATGTCCCCCTTGTCCCAAATTTCTGACTTCTACTAGTTAGCCAGTTCGCTGTACATGCTAATATACTACCCCCAACACAATGGGCTTTTGTTACGTAGCCTAATGTGTGGTAAAATGTAATGTGTGTTCAATACCACAATTATCAAAGTCTGTTAATTGGATTTAAGTTACATTCGCTACCATAAATGAGGTTTGAACCCCTGTTCTGACAGCATTAACCTGAGTTATTAGTTCAGTGACATTGCCATGACCCCACCATCTCCAGGTAGCCCTAGTTTTAGCTATCCACCATCTCCTTTAATGTCTTTGTCACATGTTAACAGATTAAGAACTGACCTTTCAGGCTGATAGAATCATAACCATAGAGTTGTACAGCGCAGAAACAGACCCTTTGGTCCAACTCATTCACGCCAACCAACCAGGGACCCGAGTTCGATTCCACCCTTGGGCGACTGCCCGTGTGGAGTTTGCACATTCTCCCCGTGTCTGCGTGGGTTTCCTCCGGGTGCTCCGGTGTCCTCCCACAGTCCAAGGATGTGCAGGCTAGGTGGATTAACCATGCTAAGTTGCCCGTAGTGTTCAGGGATGTGCAGATTAGGGGGATGGGTCTGGGTGGGATGCTCTGAGGGTTGGTGTGGACTTGTTGGGCCGAAGGGCCTGTTTCCACACTGTAGGGATTCTATTCTTCTATTCTATTCTATCTAGTCCCATATGCCTCTAAAGCCTACTTATTCATGTACCCATCCAGATGCCTTTTAATGTTGTAATTGTACCAGCCTCCACCACTTCCTCTGGCAGCTCATTCCACCCTCTGCATGAAAAAGTTGCCCATTAGGTTTCTTTTAAATCTTTCCCCTCTCACCTTAAACCTATACCCTCTAGTTTTGGACTCACCTACCCTGGGAAAAAGACCTTGGCTATTCACTCTATCCATGCCCCTCATGATTTTATAAACCTCTATAAGGTCACCCCTCAGCATCTGACACTCCACGGAAAATAGCCCCAGCCTAATGAGCCTCTCCCTATAGCTCAAACCCTCCAACCCCGGCAACATCTTTGGAACCTTTAGAATATTGTACCATATCAGAAGTTTAAAGTTAATTGGCAAAAGAACCGCATGGCCAGGTGCAAAGTTTTTTTTCCTACATGGTAAGTTTTGATGAGATGGACAGCCAGAGAGAGATATGGAAGCAGATTCAATGGTAATCTGCATATATAATTAAGGCAAATGAAACATTTTGCAGGGAAATGCGAATAATTGTATCCTACATTTAATAGACTGGCATAGACACAGTGGGCTGATTGGCCTTCCCAGATGTTTCTTAATTTTATGTCCAGCCTGACTAAAAGCTGTCCTTTGAGGATGGAATGCCTTCTTAATTAGAGATTGCCTGAGCTGTCATTTGCGTGTCAGTGCCAGTCCTGCCAACATCCACTGGCACAAAACCAAACTTGTCTGCCAGGGTAGAGGGCATGGTGATGTCGCTATGTTGATCCTTCTGTTCCTCAGAGCCCTCTATTATTTGGACTGTTGCCCATGGTAATAGTGCTACTAATTGAGGGCCTGGACTGAATAATCTGCACTATTATAGATCTCTGTTTTAAAGCAGTGACTCATACCCGAATGTTTTAATGAAAAACAAGAGAATTCTGGCTTTGCTTTGTAATTAGTGACTTGCTAATGAAATGATTGGAATTTGTAGCTTTGGTCTGAGAGGCCAAGTGGAGTTTCCCAGATGCCACGTTGGTGCACTAGGCCAGTGACCACTTTGAATTGATTAGAGTCAGTCAGAACATGGTGCCGATAACAGTCTAACAAATGTTCCAATGGGATGGTCTTTGGGAGCTTGATGTGCACCTCTGACAGTGCAACACTCCCTGAGTACTGCACTGAAAATGGCATAATATGGGGCCTCGACATAGTGGTGTCAATTCACTTCCAAATGACTCTCAGAATAAGGGTTGATACTGTGAGGAAGAGTTGATGAATTAATCCTGAAATGCTCAGGGGTATGATAGGATAACATTACACCCAAGTGACCAAAGCAATTCTGATCCTCAGCTCGTAGAATCCCTACAGTGTGGAAGCAGGCCATTCAGCCCATCAACTAACACTCTGAAGAGCATCCCACCCAGACCCACACCTCTACCCTACAATTTCCCATTGTATTAGCATTTCCCATGGCTAATCTACCTAGCCTGCACATCCCTGGACACTATGGGCAATTTAGCATGGCTAGTTCACCTAACCTGGACATCTTTGGACTGTGGGAGGAAGTTGAAGGAAACCCATGCAAACATGGGGAGAATGTGCAAACTCCGCACAGACAGTCGCCCAAGCATGGAATCAAACTCAGGTCCCTGGTGCTGTGATGCAGCAGGGCTAACCACTGAGCCAATGTGCTGTCCCAGTATCCTGCCTAATATTTACATCTGTCAATCAGTG